CATGTTGTTTAGGAAGTAGTTGCCACTCCTGTTTCCAAAATCGGTAGTATAGACATTCCTCATTCTGCAGTTTTTATTTCTAAGGACAAAATTTCAGGAAAACAACTTGACTGTTAGCGAAACAGTAATTGCATCAAAATCTGAAGGAGCAGACCTAGGTGAAATTTGTCTTGAGTGTGCTCCTCCCTAACACTTGCACATTCTCTCTCTCTCTCTCTCTCTCTCTCTCTCTCTCCCATTTCCTCTCTCTCTCCCATTTCCTCTCTCTCTCTCTCTCACACACACACTCTCACACTCTCTCCCCCTCTCTCTCACTCATACACACTCTCTTCCACACACACGCCCACATCCCCTGTAAGCTGTGTATGAGAACGTTTCAGGATTTATAAGTGTTAGACCACATACTGGAGATTGGAGAAGGAAGGGACATGAGGCTTGAGGTCATAAGGAACCGCAGGGCAAGGCAGGTGGACATCTGGTAGAGGAGAGAAGTGCAGGTGTGGATGAGTGTGCCAGGTGAGGGGGAGAGGAAAATGTCTTCATTTTTGAGCCTCTTTTACTGAAGGAAATTCTCCTGAGGACCTTGGGGAAGATGAGGTATTTTAACTGGTGTTTTGGGACCTATTTTAGCCCTTGCTTTCCAGACCTCATGGCTGGGTGTCTGGGGAAAAGAGGATTTCTCTGTTGTGTGTCCTGGGGCACAGTTACTGGACCATCTGACCAGTGAGGGGCATTACTCAGAATAGAGGGGCAGCACGCCATGCCACTGCCACCTCACTTAGCTCCGTCACTTTCCATTCTGCTCAACTTGTTGTGAGCTGGTGGAAAGTTTGACTTGCCTCTTAGTTGCTTATCTCTGGGAAGTCAAGATGAAGAATCTGCTGCTACTTTTTAACCAGTGCCCCACAGAGAAAGCCATGGGAGGATAGGAGCTGTGGAGACGCGTCGACACTGGGAACCTGCGTGTGATAACTTTGCCTGTGTGTTTGCTGTGCAGTGTAGGGTTTACCAGATTGCTTCAGGTTTACTTCCTGCCTCCTTACTCCTTAGCCCCAGAGGACCAGGGATTTGTCTTCCTAGAGTCTACGCCTGGGACGACAGCTAGCTCTTATGTTTCCTCCCTCTTTACTCAGCTCAGTGCCTTCTTCACTGTGCCCTGGTTTCTCTTATTCAGGACATCCAGCATTGATTGTTATTATTTTACTCTTATGCTTGCTCCTGCTTCAGGCAACATGTCCTCCCATTGAAATCTCATGAATTGTTTCAAGTTGACCTTGATTATGACACTCAGTAGCCCATTTCTGCTTAATATCTGACTGATCGCGTAGCCTTAATGCCTATTCAACACTTTAGAAAATGAGAGAGAACACTAATAGTCTCAGTATTTCTGTTTGTACCTTTTGACATTGAGTAACAGATGATGTGTCTGATGATCAGGGTGGCTGTTAAGATTGCGTCATTACAGATTCCTGTGTGACTTTGGGAAAATTGTCTGCCAGCCAGCTCCATTGTTCAGTGTGACTCTATTCTGAAGGCATCAGAGTCTTCAGTCTGAGAAGGCGTCCTCCTTCAGCCCTTCTCCTCCTTTACCTTTCTAGAGTGCCGTGACCTTGACAAAACAAAAGGGAAACTGTCTACAGACTCCGTTTAATGCTGTGGTCTCTCCTTTTGTGAACTAAGTCTTTGAACGTTTCTGGTACTACTGTTATCAGCCCCTACTTTTTGCATAGTATTTGGGGAAGTGCTGGGTACAATACCCCGGGCTACTGTGTACAGACAAGAAACTTTGTAGGAATATCTGCAAACTTGCGGAAATAATTTCTGGTGCAAATCGGGGCTTATCTGTGCCCTCTGGACTTGATCTCATGGAGCGGGGTAAGGGGCCGGGAGTCAGTTAGGAGCGGGATGAATTCTTGGAACAGTTGCATCATTAGGTGTGTTGTCCAGATCTTGGCGAATCACTTGAAACTTCATGAAACTTCTCAAGCATTTGATTATTGGCTTCCAAGTAAATGTTCCAAATAAATCGACCTTACATTTGCTTGGTTAACACAAGCAGGGCTTATTAACGCTAATAAATGCTCATAGAAAGATGTCATCACTCTGAAGAAATGTGACTGTTTTCAGCCTCTTCGGACCCTTTTTGACTTGGTCAAGGGTACGGGTAACAAAAGAGGTTTCGACTCCAAGCTCAGCCCAGAAGTATCTGCCACCTGCCGCCTCCAAGGCTCTTCCTTCCAGGTTTCAGCGAAGCTGCCAGACTAAGACACATGGAGCGGCAGGACCTGGCAGAACTGTTAGCCGGGGAGAGGCCCCAGGTCCACAGTGGGCTGATCCCACTGCAGCCCAGGGAGGCAGAGGGGCTCCAGCTTCATGAGAGGACCCTGCCCCTGCTGTGAAAAAGGGATTTGCAAAAGAAAATCATTTGGAAGATGGTTTTCATTACCAAGGTCCTTAGGATGTTAATATGCCTAAACCAGACTGTAATTTGCAAAACAAGACCTTAGAAATCCCAGCAAAGGAGATAAGGAATGGTGGCTAGGTCAGGCTTGGACCCAAGGGAAGACATTTTAGAGATCATCTGACTTAGTGTTCTTATTGTTATGTGCCTTTGAGTCAACCATGACTCATAACGAACCTATGAACAATGGCTCTGAACCTTGTCCTATCCTGAGCCAGCCTCATTGTCTCACTGTGGCCATCTCATCCAGGGGCTTCCTTTCTTGGGCTCGCTCACCCTCTGTCTTTCCAAGCCCACAGTATCACACCTTGATTTCACTTTCTCTTGGACAGACTTGCTTGTTCTCTTGGCAGTCCATGGGTATTCAGTACTTCTCCAAGACCACAACCCAAAGGCATCAATTCTTCTTCTGTCATCCTTAGTCATTGTCCAGCTTTAATCTGCATAGCTAGCAATTGAAAAGACCTTGGCTTCGAGCAGATGCACCTTAGTCTTTAGACTGACATTATTGTTCTTTAGCACTTTGGAGAGGTTCTTGACAACAGATTTTCCCAGTACAACTAATCTTTTGATTTTGTGACTGCTGGTGCCAAGGTATAATTTGTTGATCCAAGTAAGAAGAAATTTTTAACTTTAATCTTTTCTCCATCTACCATGATGCTGCCTATTGGCCTGGTGGTGAGGAGTTTTGTGTTCTTGGTGTTGAGATGTAATCTTTACTGAAGGCTATATTCCTCGATCTTCTGCAGCAAGTACTTCAAGACCTCCTCACTTTGAGCAAGCCAAGTTGTGTTACCTGCATAACGCAGATTGTTGATGCTTTGTCTTCCAGTGGGTTGTCAGCTTAAGAACATTGGGGAAGGTCTGGTGAAGAATAGAAATTTTGTGTAGTGTTGTGTAGTGTATCCTCAGTTGACGAAGGGCAAACAAGAGGGACGCAGCATGCTGGCCCTAAAAAGAGGTCGCAGTTATGCCATGATTGAAGTGTTGCCGAGGCAGGTAAACTTGAAGGTAAGTCTGAGTATCTTGGTCACCTGCAGCAAAGGGAGGGGACACACTTCAGATGAGAGCTGAAGGAGACATCCATAGTGATACCTTGAAGAGAGGCTGTGAGAATGTCCATGGCACAGAACCGCCTCCTATGGTGGATTATAATACAGCCTATTACCGTGTTTCAGTGGATCTTTTTTTTTTTCTTTCATTTTAACCCGTATTTCCTCTATTGTATTACTAACTCATTAATAATGTGATTTGACTTGTGGTACATGTGTCAGATATACAGACTAGGAAAGACGTTATTGTCAGATGCCACTCTGATCTGCTGCAAACTCGAGGTGGGTGACATTGTGTAATAGAACCTGAATACCTCTGGTGGCCTGGTCACTAGGGGGCTGCAGCGCTGCTAACCCAAAGGCCCTGCTTCTCTAAGCTGTTCAAATCCACCAGCAGCTGCAGGGGAGAAAGGCAGACAATCTCTTCCTCTCTGATTTACAGCCTCAGAAACCCAGTGGAGCATCAGCCAGAAGTCAGTGTCCCCTTGATGGCAATGCATTGTTAGATACAATGTATCAAGTGAAAAATAACAGTTGCTCTCTTTTATTTTTCCTCCTCAGCTGAAGTAAACAGTGAATATAGTATGGAAAAGGCAATGGTTGAATTTGCTAAAATGGACCGAGAACTAAACCATTACATAAAGGCCGTTCAGTCTACAATAAATCACGTAAGTTTGGTATTTATGATTATTCATGCCCTTGATCTGATCTTGGTTATGCCTGAGTACAGCTCACTGACCTAGAAATATGAACATAAAATTCCTTCTCTAACCTTTAATAATGCCTTATCCTTACTGTAGCATCTGTTCATTTCCTTTTGACCAGGAAGTCTCATAGAAGAGGAATCTTAAGTATTTTCCCAGCTAAGCCATCTAGGTTAATTAGGGCATTGAATCTAGTGTAGCCGTTCTTACATTTCTTGTATTGACATTTTCAGCCTAAGCATGCTCTGTGTCTGAGGAAGTTGTTTATAAGATACTGGAAGTCCTATAGGACTTGTTTTTATTGTTACGTCCACCTAAGCTTACAATTTAGATGAGGCTCGGTTACTCATTGTCCAGTTTTTACTGCTCTGCAGCTATTGCAAAATTTACACAATCAGGGGCGACGAGGTGGCTTTGGCCCTGGCGGCCTGGCTGGCGTTGGGTGGGCGGCACCTTAGGGCTCACATGAGCCACTGGCATCATGCCCGCGGCGACTGGGGCCGGGGACCCGCCTTTTCTGGACACTCTTCATCCAAAAGGAAGGGCAAGAATCGCATCCCTGAGAGGTGGAAAGACTACCTTCCAATTGGGCGGCAGATGCCTGGGACCTGTTTCATTGCTTTCAAAGTTCCTTTGAAAAAGAGTTTTGAAGGGAGTCTTTCACCAGAAGAATGTTTTTCTCCTCTGGATCTTTTTAACAAAGTCCAAGAACAAAAT